TATTATGAATGTCTAGACCCTTTTCCTTACTTTATACGATCCCGCGATAAGAATGAGACTTAAAAAGGCTATAAGGGTAATGAGTATAATGTTCTTTATCAGTAGTTTTATTAAAATTCATATATCGCAGGGATTTGGAATCTCTGCATCTCCGAGATCGTCAGATCTAAATCTACTTTAAGCGATCGACAAATCTAAGGGGTTAATTTCACCAGAAAAATAACAAAATAGAATCAGTATTTGGAAGTTATGACTGAATATACTTGCTTTACGTGGTGGGATCTTGATTGCATTACCCTACTACAATTACTAATCATGTAACTTTTTTCTAGCAAATGGACAGTATAAAAATAAGCAGTTTTTTTGTTTCTTGTAGGTGGGTTATAATAATATTTTTTGTTTATACATATTTTTTTATCTGCCTGTAATTATTTTTTTAAAGTAATTTACTATTCCATTTCGTGGTAATTATTATGGAGACGAATTTTTACTTACTATGGTTTTTTTGTATTTAGGAACGAAAAATGAGCAATTATATTAATATTACCCTTAATTGTTATTATTCGATTGATAGATCTGTTTGTATAATTAATGTTTTTAATAGAAACAATGTTAACACAATAGTAACTCAAGTTCGGGCCGGTCTACCACCGGGATCAACTAATGCTAATTTTCGGCTTTGCAGATTTTCATCTACCATGGGGGGTTACCTCGCAACTATGCATCCAAGTTCTAATATCTATGATCATTTCCCAGGAAATCCTGATCAGAATGACATTCATATTATCGTAGAAATGATACTATAATTTTTTTTCTTTTTATTTATTTGTATTTTTTTATATAAAAAAATATTTTTTATTTGTCTGTTGTCGCTCTGGCAACAATTATTATGAAATAAAGAAGGGGTCACACACCTTACCAAATTTTATTTTTATACTGTATGATTTTTTACAATGTAACTTGTGAACCATCTTCTCGTGATTTTATCACTCGAAGTCAGAAAGTAGTTGAACCCTGATTCATTACTAGATTTCTTTTTTTAAGCTTGCGAGAAAAAAATGAGACTATTGAGTTAACTTTATTAATCTATGCTATTACGGTTATATTGGGATTCCAGCATCACGTGTTAATATGCGCCAATTAAACGATCTGAATTTTTATAAGTTTTTTTTCCACTACTTAAATCATAGTAATAGCCTGGTTCATCATTATCAGAACAAGTGAAATCACCAGTAATTGTTTTATTTGTGCTATCACTGAATATATTAGCATCGTTCATACCCTCTTTATCGTCATTATACGAGTCTGATTTATCTGGTATCTCTTTTTCAGAATCACTAGAATCGTTGTCGCCATCTGACTTAGTATTATAAGATTCTCCTTCTTCCTCCTTTAAACCCTCTTCATCAAAATGCACATCATTATCATAGCCATTTGCCTTACCTTTCGTTATTGAAGCATTTGATGGCATTTTGATTCTATCAACATTGTCTGTATTATCACCATTCACCTCATTAAAATACATATCTTCATCAAACCACGCCTCTTCCTTGGAATTATCAGAAGAATTAGAGATATGTGTTAATAGGATAGGTGCAGACAACGATGTACGTACCTCAGATGCATTAGTCTGATCGTCATCTTGTTCTTCATCCTTGGAATCATCAGTGAATTCCATATTGAGTTTTTCAGTGAAGTGGTCTATAATCGTTTGAATCTGAAAAGTAGAAAGTTTTGAAATAGTATCCGCACTATATGTTTTTATGTATTGAATCTTGTCCATTCCTATTTTTTTGAACAAATTGTCAATCCTCAAAGCTTTCTGTGTTTGCCTGCATAAAGTTTTGCGTTTAGTGTTGGGGAGCTGTTTGATAATAAAATCATATACCTGACCTTTCGCCTTCTTTTCTCCAACTTTATTGCTGACCATAAAATCTTTATACATGCTCTTGAATTCTCTAGCATAGAAACACTAACACAAAGTTTCTTCTCTATTGGCTTCGATTGCATCTTTTTCTGCATCACACGCAATTTCATATAGACTAATAATGTCTTGGGCCGATCGTTCTCCATTTCTTTCTATTGAAGTCTCATTATTTGAGCGAACCAAGTTCGCTGAAATTTCAGTCACAGGCGAAGTATGTTTTTCTTCTATAGATAAAATCATTTCTCGAATCAAGCCCTGTTCGTTTTTTCGCCCATGGAAATAGTAGAGATAGTAGAAGTAGTAGATGCAGTATTCCGGGAAATCGAGTGTGCCTCTTGGCTAAGTGATTCACACTGAAGCTTTTTTCTCTCTATTCCTCTGTCTAATCTCTTCACTAATCCTTTTATTATGCGCCTCATTCAAGAAAGCGTCTGTCTTCTTATCCTCCGATGACTTCTTCTCACTAGCACAAGAGAACTAGACTTTGGGTTTGGATGAAACCTCAGAAGCGTTATCGAACTGGTCTATAGTGGAGCTAGGTAAATTAGCAACCTCGGGAGTTTGCCCTCATTACCATCCCTTAGTTTCACTACTTCGGCCTTCAGCTCAGCAATTTCATCATCACGCCTAACATTATCTGCAACAGTATCCATCCTACCTTTCTCCAACTCCTCGATTCTATGCCTGAGCTCAGCATTTTCAGCTTCATGCTTGGCTCTCTCTTCTGCAACCTGCTTTAAAAACTCAACCTTCTCGGACTCAAGACCAGTGATCTTGGCTACAAGTCTGGCATTCTCCCGTCTAAGTAATTCAATCTCAGATTCCATTTCGAAAAAACCTTTCACACACTATATACAAACATTCAAATAAAAAAAACATGTGATTTTGGACGAACTGAGTTCGCCGAAATTTGCCAAGCTTTTGATTTGGGTGAACTAAGTTTGCTGAAATTTTGCCAAGAAAAATTTTATTAATACATGTGAAAAATAAATACAAATGTTCAGGACCTAGCCTGCATCAGCAAATTATATAAACGTAATCTTACGTAAGATATTACGGCCTGTAATATTGCGCAAGAATTACGGT